CGCCGCCCCCGGGGAGCTGCCCAAGACCTTCACCTTCGACGCCGTGTACGACGCCAGCTCCAAGCAGGCCGACCTCTACGATGAGACGGTGCGGCCGCTCATCGACTCGGTGCTGCAGGGCTTCAACGGCACCGTCTTCGCCTACGGGCAGACCGGCACCGGCAAGACCTACACCATGCAGGGCGCCTGGGCGGAGCCCGAGAAGCGCGGCATCATCCCCAGCGCCTTCGAGCACATCTTCACCCACATCTCCCGCTCGCAGAACCAGCAGTACCTGGTGAGGGCCTCGTACCTGGAGATCTACCAGGAGGAGATCAGGGACCTCCTCGCCAAGGACCAGAGCAAGAAGCTGGAGCTGAAGGAGAACCCCGAGACCGGGGTGTACATCAAGGACCTCTCCTCCTTCGTGACCAAGAACGTCAAGGAGATCGAGCACGTGATGAACCTGGGCAGCCAGACGCGCTCGGTGGGCAGCACCAACATGAACGAGCACAGCTCGCGCTCGCACGCCATCTTCCTCATCACCATCGAGTGCAGCGAGACGGGGCCGGACGGCGAGGAGCACATCCGCGTGGGCAAGCTCAACCTCGTGGACCTGGCCGGCAGCGAGCGCCAGAGCAAAATGGGGGCCCAGGGAGAGCGCCCCAAGGAGGCCTCCAAGATCAACCTCTCCCTCTCGGCCCTGGGCAACGTCATCTCGGCGCTGGTGGACGGGCGGAGCACGCACATCCCCTACCGGGACTCCAAGCTCACCCGGCTGCTGCAGGACTCCCTCGGGGGCAACGCCAAGACAATCATGGTGGCCACCTTGGGCCCGGCCTCGCACAGCTACGACGAGAGCCTCTCCACCCTCAGGTTCGCCAACAGGGCCAAGAACATCAAGAACAAGCCGCGGGTGAACGAGGACCCCAAGGACACCTTGCTGCGGGAGTTCCAGGAGGAGATCGTGCGGCTGAAAGCCCAGCTGGAGAAACGCGGGATGCTGGGCAAGAAGAGGAGGAGGAGCAGCCGGAGGAAGAAAGCGATGGATGGAGAGGGCACCGTGGACAATGAAGGGGAGGACGAGAATGAGGATGGCCTGGAGAAGACCATGGAGAATTACTTGAAGGAGCAGAAGGAGAGGCTGGAAGAGGAGAAAGCCGCTATCCAGGATGACCACAGCCTGGTGAGTGAGGAGAAGCAGAAGCTGCTCCAGGAGAAGGAGAAGATGATTGAGGACCTGCGGAAGGAGCAGGAGGCCACGGAGCTGCTGGCCATCAAGTACAAGGTTTGTGTTGCCTGGCATGGTGACAAATGGGGCCAGGGTGCCTGCTGTGCCCCCAGGCCCTGGTGTGGATGGGAATGGATCCCAAGCAGGGAGCCTGGGGAGGTGCCCATCCTCCCAAGTGAGGTGACCAGAGGGCAGCCCNCCCTCCTTTGTCCCCTGGTTCCCCTCCATGGCTGGGGCTGTGCCTCTGGGGAGGGGACAGTCCCTGTCTGGAAGCTCCTCCTGGAGCAGGAGGACTCAGACAGCACCAGGCCTGTGTATGTCAGCAATACCCTAATTAATTAATTATGGGATAATCTCTGGTTCTGGGGAAGGAACGGGTGGCTGCTCAGACTTGATTAACCACAAGAATGTTTAATCTCCCCCTGCAGCCGTGTAAGGCACTGGGATTATTCCCACTGGGATGCACCAGCCATGCCTGGCTGCAAGGGGACACAGAGCCTGGGACAGCCCAGGGACACCCAAACTCCACAGGGTGACCCTGCCCTGGCCCCACAGGGATGGAACGGGACTGGGCATCCCCTGCTTTTCCTGCCTCTGTCCTGCACCCCAATCCCACATCCCTGATCCCCCACCATGGACCCTGCACCCTGCTTCCCACATCCCAGTCCTGCATCCTGCATCCCACATCCTGCATTCCACAAAAACATTCTCCATCGCAGACACAAATCCTGCATCCTGCAACCCACATCCTGTATCCCACATCCCCGACCTGCATTCTTCATCCTCAATCCTTCATCTGGAATCCTTCATCCTGCATTCCACTCCTGCATTCCAATGCAGCATCCCAACCCAGAATCTCAGTCCTGCATTCCAGTGCTGCATCCCAACCCTGCATCCTTCATCCCACATCCCAGTCCTGCATTCCAGTACAGCATCCAGTCCTGCATTCCAATCCTTTGTCCTACATGCCGATCCTGTATCCTTCATCCCATATCCCAGTCCTGCATCCTGCATGCCATTCCTACATTTGTGATCCCATATC